CGAGAGAGAGAGAGAGAGAGAGAGAGAGAGCAAGAGAGAGCAAGAGAAAGAGATCAGAGATGCCATTTTTGATTACCTGGTTGCTCAACCATTCTCTTTTCCTGCTGCTCATCCTCTGTTGTCTGCTCTTCAATAAAAAAGCCTGCACCTGAGTCTATAATTTTGGCCACTTTAGCACATGTAGCTCCTGAGGGAAGACAGATTATTATACACCCTAGTATATCATACACTTAGCTACACAATCTTAAACAGGTGAAATTCATGCAAATTCTGGTACGTGTTAACTCATGGCGAACCTTCTGGAGCTGAAGACGGTCTACTGGCGAGCCTGGCTTGTCTGAGCATTAATGCCCGTTGTCTGTTCCGTTCAATTTTGGCCAACATGTGCGGTGTTAAGGACACACTGGAAACATTTGAAGAGTTTGCAGCATCCGGCGGTTCATCTTGAGAATGACTGGCTTCTGGCACATCCATGATCAGTCTATATGTACAACACCAGTTTGGACACATTTAGTCATTCATTCATTTTACAATAATAATCAGTAAGTAATAAAAAATGATCCATACAAATAAAAAGTTTGCGGAGAACAACAACAAAAAAAGTTAACAAGCAACAACCACAATAATTAAGATAAATATAAATAAATGAACGAATAAATACATACATACATACTTAAAACATTAGAGAAATCCAAAATCAAATTTAATATATTATAAATCTATAATGATAATAATATTATTAGTATATAGTATAAAGTATTATTGGTTACTGTATCACCTAATACAAGTTAGGGAATTATACCGTGACCAAAAATCTAAACCTTTTAAGCATTTAACGTTAACCACAATCGAGAAGATCAATATGCATAAGTAAATTAATAAATGCATTAATAAAATACTAGAGAAATCCCGAATCAAATGTAATATTGTAAACTTATAATAATAACAATATGCACATAGCTTAAACTTAAGTTCGTTACTGTAATCCACAAGATCAGTATGAATAAATATATAAATGAATAAATACATAAAATATTAGATAAATCCCCAATCAAATATATTGCATATTACACATTTACAGTGGTAATAACAACATGTAGGTTGGCTAACGTTACTATAATACATAAAGCAGAGAGCTTGAGACTTCCTACCGACAAGGAGTCTATAAAGCGATGTCTTACCGGAAACTTTGTTTTCTGTTTTTATAGTTGGTCCAAGAAGAAATTAAATGAAATCTTGAAAATGTCAGTCCAGCGTTTCAGTTTAATATGCGTGATGTAATGAACTATGTTGTTTGTGATGTTGTTCTTCTCCTCTTGAATGTTTTGCACCACCAGACCAACATCGCCATCTAGTGAGTCAGCAGTCTTCCCCATGATTGTGTAGCCCAGTGAACCAAACCACCAGACCATTTTGAAGGCTCAGGAAACCTTTGCAGGTGTTTTGAGTTGATTAGCTGATTGGCATGTCACCATATTCTAATTTGTTGAGATAGTGAATTGGTGGGTTTTTGTTAAATGTGAGCCAAAATCATCACAATTAAAAGAACCAAAGACTTAAACTACTTCAGTCTGTGTGCATTGAATTTATTCAATACACGAGTTTCACAATTTGAGTTGAATTACTGAAATAAATGAACTTTTCTACGACATTCTAATTTATTGAGATGCACCTGTATGTTTATGATCATTGCGACCGAAACCTCTCATTTGAAGAGTTTGCAGCATCCGGAGACCAATGTTATTCACTTAGAATACTTATTGTTATTCACAACAGTATTTATATTTCGCAACCAAAATCACATATACAATGCATGTTATGATTTAATTTCTTGAAGCATTTTGACACTGATAACGATCGATCTTTTAGAAAGGATGGAGAAATAGCATTCAACAACTGTTTTTCACCCAAGGTGGCAAATCAATTTGTTTTTCTTAAAAAAGACTGACCAGGGCACACTAGAGTTGAAAAGAAAACAAGTGCTTCCGTTGTTTTTGTTTTTATGAAAATGACCATTTATGTGAAAGTAGCTATATTTTTAAAGATGTGTGAAAAGTAATGGCTTTTAATTAGTAATAAATTAATGAGCAAATCAACACAAATCAAGTACAAAGGTCGCTGTCAATAGACATCATTTACTTTTAATAAATGGACATGGACGTGCTTTAATACTTCTGTCGGCGGGCAGCAGAGAACAATCTGAAGTTGTTCCTGAGATTGCCCAGCCGGCTCACCACATGATGATCGCATATGGGTCAATTCAGCACCTTGGAGGAGAGCTGGCACTCTGCTGGCCCCAGGACCATGACAATAGCTGAGAGAAGAGCTCTGAACATCCTCAGCAAAACAGTGACCGATATAATGATGGATATCGTCGATCAAGCCACTGAAAATCCTCTGCGGGCTGCTGAGATAGTCAGGCAAGGTACAGTATTACATGCTGTTTTCATTCACCTAATCTAAACAAAGTTCACCTCTGAAATAGTGACTTATCAGAGAGGTCACTATCAGTGTCTGTATAGAGACACCAATAACGGGATCAAACAGAATATGATGAAATGCTTAAAATATTAGGTAACGTATAAAAACAAAACAAATGCATTAATTAATTAATAATTTTTTTGACACAACAGCAATATATTTTATTTTTTAAATATACCAGCAATATATATTATGTATGTATATATACACAAAACAGCAACATTTTTATTTTACTTTATATTTAAATTGGTTTGATACAATATCAATATTTTTTATTTTATTTAATATTTTTTAATACAACATCAATATTGTATTTTATTATTTTGTATACACAAGCAATATTTACATTACATTTTTTATATAATAACAATATTTTTATTTTTATTAGAATCTATTTTATTTGTTGAATACAATCACAATATTCTTATTTTATTTTCATTTTATTTGATACAACAGCAATATTTTAGTTTTTATACATCACATTTTTTATTTTATTTTAATACAGCTGCAATATTATGTTAATATAAAATATGTTTTATGATACAACATAATTATTTTATTATTTTATTTGATTTTAGACTTCATGTCAGCCACACAACCTCAGAATTTAACAAACGGTTTAATTCCTGTGCTTCTTTTAGGGAAGAAATCAGTTGCTCGATCTACTGATGAGGAGCTGCATGAGTCAGAACGTTTGGGATGTAAATAATGTTTGAGAATGAGGTGCTTGGACCAAGTTCTGGAATAAAGTTGGAGGACCTTGATTCAGAACAGGAACTGGAGCTTGAAGATGTCATTTCTAACTGCTTTGAGGAGCTGTATGAGCTAAAAAGACTGAAAAGTGAAACTTCAAAGCCTGACATATACCTGAGAATGAGCTGTTCACACCAAGGTCTGGAAAAAAGAAAAAGACCTTCGATTCAGAACAGAAGATGGAGCTTGAGGAGGTACTTGATGAAGCTCCATTTGAAAGAACAAGAAGAAATAACTGAAGCCTCTCAAGGTTTAACTGTGCCATTTCATTTTGTAGAGAGTGTTGTTGACGGCCTGCTTGCAAAACTTGATCTTGCTGACATTTTTGGCATTAATCTTTCAGATGCTCTTGTCTCCAGTCTGGTAAAGGGACTAGCAAACCTGGCAAGAATTAATGTTGCTATCTGCAGCCTTAGAAATAAGCGCTTTCCTGACGAGAATGATATTGTTTTACAAATTGTAAATGAAGCTCACAGCATCCTGGTGCATAAAACTCTTCTTTTTCAAAAGCAAGGCTAGCCAGCGAGATGTCCTTGAAAAAAAAAATGTTTTTCAAAAAATTTGAACCTGAGAAGCATTAATAAAGTGTTTATTTGTTAAAAAAAAAA